AGGTCGAGTCTCGTTGGTTCATCGTTACCTGTCATTCTAGTGGGTTCCCTGACATGCTGGCTTAGAAAGTTTCTTGTCGCCACCTCTAATAGTTTAGCTCTCCATGTTTCCACACCTTCATGTGGTTCCTTGTTCTCCTAGTCTATCCTTCCGTGATTGAAGTCCCCCATGATGAGCAGATGGGATCTATTTCTACAGGCAGCAGAGAAGCCCTCTCAATTTTAGTGTTAACTGCCATGTTGTTGTTGTCATTCTCTTGCCTGGGCCTTCTGTCGTTTTGGTGGAAGGTTATATATGGAACAGAAGGACCAAGAGCTACTACTGCTCTTGGTCCATGTGTGTGTGTGTGTGTGTGTGTGTGTGTGTGTGTGTGTGTGTGTGTGTGTGTGTGTGTGTGTGTGTGTGTGTGTGTGTGTGTGTGTGTGTGTGTGTGTGTGTACTCACCTATTTGTGCTTGCGGGGGTTGAGCTTTGGCTCTTTGGTCCCGCCTCTCAACTGTCAATCAACTGGTGTACAGATGTGTGTGTGTGTGTGTGTGTGTGTGTGTGTGTGTGCGTGCGTGCGTGCGTGCGTGCGTGCGTGCGTGCGTGTGTGCGTGCGTGCGTGCGTACACGTGCATGAGTACGTGCCTGTCTGTGTGTATGCATGTCTCTGTATGTTGATGAAGATGTTTAGCATAACGGGGTCGGTCCTCTCATTCGAACAAAAAGTATAAACAACGTCGATGACATTTTATCGCAACTTCAGAAACAAGAAAAAAAACACAAGGTCGAGACCCAAGGCATGAAGTAAAAAAAAAAATATGCAATAGTAACCTGATATGGGACTCCTTGAGAAAGCCTGTCAGATTGAAGAATCTCTCTCTCTCTCTCTCTCTCTCTCTCTCTCTCTCTCTCTCTCTCTCTCTCTCTCTCTCTCTCTCTCTCTCTCTCTCTCTCTCTCTCTCTCTCTCTCTACATTTTTTCATTTTTATTACTCTATAATACTCAGAATAGACACATTTAATTCAAATACAAAAGGAGGAAAGACGTAATCGAATGAAAACAGCTTTCACGAAACAGGCGAGTTTCTTATGCTAGGGGATGGATGGTAATATTATGTAGAGTGTCTTGACCGTTATTGCCTTTCCGATACCGGGGGAAGAAAGGGAGAGGGGAGCCCAGAACGTGGAGGAGGAGGAGGAGAAGAGGAAGCAGAAGGAAGAGGAAAAAGAAAGAGTTTACTTTAGTCCTTGATAATGTTCAGGACTGAACTACACTTGTGGTCATCCTTATCTTGAGGTTATCTTGAGATGATTTCGGGGCTTTTTAGTGTCCCCGCGGCCCGGTCCTCGACCAGGCCTCCACCCCCAATCCTTGTGGATTGTTCACCTATGAAGAATCTTCATAAACAATCATTAAAACAACATTCTGTGGACTAGGATGAGCATAAAAGTGTTTCCTGAAACTGAACTTAATTTTCAATTAAATAAAATAAATTCCTCTTTCCAATTGTTGATAAAAGACATGATAGTACCGTTCAGGCGAAGCGTCTCTGGATGGGGAGGGAGGAAGGAGTCCAATGATAGTACCGTTCAGGCGAAGCGTCTCTGGATGAGGAGGGAGGAACCCTGGAAACACAAACCGAAACTGTCTCCATTTTCCGCTTGTTACAACTTGTAATAAAGTTGTTACATCTTGGCTTAACGTGTTTATGACGTATTAGAACGTTGTTATAACTTGCTATATTGGTGGTTATAACTGGTTAGGAGGTGGTAAAACTTGTTCGAACGTTGTACCAACGTCGTAGTTTCGGTGTGTGTTTGGCGGGAAGGAGTCCATATTGTATGACGTGTTGACTCGTCAGCCCCAACATTGTCATTTATTTTATTTTTAACATCTTTATTGACAAATTTTAATTACAATTTTCCCTAATCTGAGGCATTCAATTAAGTCTTATGAGAGTGAGGATAATGCTGGTATTCACTGTCACACAGGACAGAGGGTCATGCACAAGACAGTAGGCCTGAACTGTAGGCTACAGCACATATCATAGTTACTAACGAGGCCATGACCGCCTGACTGTCCGGTCCTGGACACCAACTAGGCCATGACCGCCAGACTGTCAGGTCCTGGACACCAACTAGGCCATGACCGTCTGACTGTCAGGTCCTGGACACCAACTAGGCCATGACCGCCTGACTGTCCGGTCCTGGACACCAACTAGGCCATGACCGCCTGACTGTCAGGTCCTGGACACCAACTAGGCCATGACCGTCTGACTGTCAGGTCCTGGACACCAACTAGGCCATGACCGCCTGACTGTCAGGTCCTGGACACCAACTAGGCCATGACCGCCTGACTGTCAGGTCCTGGACACCAACTAGGCCATGACCGCCAGACTGTCAGGTCCTGGACACCAACTAGGCCATGACCGCCTGACTGTCAGGTCCTGGACACCAACTAGGCCATGACCGCCTGACTGTCAGGTCCTGGACACCAACTAGGCCATGACCGCCAGACTGTCCGGTCCTGGACACCAACTAGGCCATGACCGCCTGACTGTCAGGTCCTGGACACCAACTAGGCCATGACCGCCTGACTGTCCGGTCCTGGACACCAACTAGGCCATGACCGCCTGACTGTCAGGTCCTGGACACCAACTAGGCCATGACCGCCTGACTGTCCGGTCCTGGACACCAACTAGGCCATGACCGTCTGACAGTCAGGTCCTGGACACCAACTAGGCCATGACCGTCTGACAGTCAGGTCCTGGACACTAACCAGGACTTCTACTATTAATACAGCTAAGCTGTGCCCTTTCAATATTAATTTGAATTAATTGTAGTTTTAAATAATCTCAATTTACTACAAATAATACTAACAATATAAATACTCACGGTTTAATTTCCGTGTAGTAAATATAATCCCTCCTCCCCCTCCCCCATTTCCTCCCCCTCCCCCATTTCCCCCCCCCCTCCCCCTCCCTCCCCCATTTCCTCCCCCTCCCCCATTTCCTCCCCCTCCCCCGTGTAGTAAAATATAATCCCTCCCCCCCTCCCCCTCCCTCCCCCATTTCCTCCCCCTCCCTCTCCCATTTCCTCCCCTCCCCCCCCCCCCACATTTTTGTGAAGTGGAAATTTTATCGGTGGTATAAATTCCATCTATAGAGTCGACTCGCAAATAAATGAAGCATACAGTCCACTTAAAACAATGAAATAAAATAATGTAAACTAATAAACCCGCGGCAAGAGTTTCCCAGCGACGATCACAAAACAAATCCAACCGGAGCCCTGGTCGAGGGTTCGAACCTCGGCGCTGGGGTGGGTGTTCCCAGACACACGCTCTAGTCGACCCTCCCCCATCAAGGCTCCTGTTGGATTTGTTCAATAATATATCAGATTAATATGATTTCTGTGTGTACTGAAGGAGGAGCGTCAGAGGTCCATATGCTGGTTGACACAGAGTGCATAGGTGGGGGGGTGGGGGGGGGGGATGTGTGAAGCCCCTGGTTAGGCTTCAGCCTCGGGACCCTTGTGGGTGCAATAGTACCCGCAGGTTGCAATTCTTTTGACCATGTCGTTGGATTTGTTCATTGATACATCACGTTGTTGTGATTTGTGTGTGTATGGTGACTACAGTTGTGGTGACACCTGGTGGAAGCTGTCAGCCATGTCAGCTGTCAGCCGTGTCAGCTGCCAGCCGTGTCAGCTGTCAGCCGTGTCAGCTGTCAGCCGTGTCAGCTGTCAGCCGTGTCAGCTGAGCCTCAGGGCAAGATGGCGACTCCCGCCCCACCGCGTTTATTGACGCTTGATGATAATTAATAATAATTAATTATTGTCAAGCTTGATAATTAATGTTGGGAAGGAATGAATATTAAATCGGATCCTTCTAGGATCTTATTAAGTATAATTCAAGATAAATATTTATTTATTTAATAGTACCTAGGCTATGTGTGGTAATTATTTAGTGAAAGAAGTGTTTTATTAATGCACCTAATGTGGGAGCCGGTCGGCCGAGCGGACAGCACGCTGGACTTGTGATCCTCTGGTCCTGGGTTCGATCCCAGGTGCCGGCGAGAAACAATGGGCAGAGTTTCTTTCACCCCATGCAACTGTTACCTAGCAGTAAAATAGGTACCTGGGTGTTAGTCAGCTGTCACGGGCTGCTTCCTGGGGGTGGAGGCCTGGTCGAGGACCGGGCCGCGGGGACACTAAAAGCCCCGAAATCATCTCAAGATAACCTCAAGATCTCAAGATAACCTATTGCACCCGCGGCGTGTTGCCTCACAGGGGAATTATCTATAAAGATAACATTGAAAGAATTACCTTCAATTCTTCGGTTTATTGTTATGATTTAATAACTAATTAAAATTAATACAAATAATACAACAACGGAAGCCGTCTCTTCTTTATGAAATATACAATTAAATTTATGTGAAATATTATATATATGGCGAAGTGGGAAACTCCCCCACAGAGGTGTAGAGATGGCTACCTTGAGGCTACCTTGAGGTGCTTCCGGGGCTTAGTGTCCCCGCGGCCCGGTCGTCGACCAGGCCTCTGACCTCACGTGGGTGCTAAACATGACCAAATCTTCAGTTCTACTCAACCGTCTCATAGTGAACGTTATATAGTCCCCAACGAACAAAATGCAAAACACAGTGAAGACTAACGGCTCACAGATAAGCACGTTTTATGTGCATCCGCAGGATAGTTGGGCTGCCTGGGGCCGTAGACTTCGGGCCAGGTTAGCACTCTGTATTTTGAACGTTGTGGCAAATCAAGAGAACTGGCTGCGGTGTGAAGCCTACATGGGAGCCTACTCCCTGGTCTACATGGGGAGCCCTACCTGGCCTACATGGGAGCCTACTCCCTGGCCTACATGGGAGCCCTACCTGGTCTACATGGGAGCCTACTCCCTGGCCTACATGGGAGCCCTACCTGGCCTACATGGGAGCGTACTCCCTGGCCTACATGGGAGCCTACTCCCTGGCCTACATGGGAGCCCTACCTGGCCTACATGGGAGCCTACTCCCTGGCCTACATGGGAGCCTACTCCCTGGCCTACATGGGAGCCTACTCCCTGGCCTACATGGGAGCCTACTCCCTGGCCTACATGGGAGCCTACTCCCTGGCCTACATGGAAGCCTACCCCCTGGCCTACATGGGAGCCTACTCCCTGGCCTACATGGGAGCCTACCCCCTGGCCTACATGGGAGCCCTACCTGGCCTACATGGGAGCCTACTCCCTGGCCTACATGGGAGCCTACTCCCTGGCCTACATGGGAGCCTACCCCCTGGCCTACATGGGAGCCCTACCTGGCCTACATGGGAGCCTACTCCCTGGCCTACATGGGAGCCCTACCTGGCCTACATGGGAGCCCTACCTGGCCTAGCTGCAGCCCTATAATGCCTACCTCAAATTACCAAGACAGCCTCCAGATCTGGATCGGGCCTCTGGGCCGCTCCAAACAACAGCCTGTTGGATCAAGCTCTCACAAGTCAAGCCTGGCCCCAGGCTGGGCTTGAGGAGTAGAAGAACTCCCAGAACCCCATCAAGCAGGTATCCAGCAGGTAAATCTCTCACAAAGATTAAGTATAAAATAAACTTGAATCCTTGAGGTTATCTTGAGGTTATCTTGAGATGATTTCGGGGCTTTAGTGTCCCCGCGGTCCGGTCCTCGACCAGGCCTCCACCCCCAGGAAGCAGCCCGTGACAGCTGACTAACTCCCAGGTACCTATTTACTGCTAGGTAACAGGGGCATTCAGGGTGAAAGAAACTTTGCCCATTTGCTTCTGCCTCGTGCGGGAATCGAGCCCGCGCCACAGAATTACGAATCCTGCGCGCTATCCACCAGGCTACGAGGCCCTGGCTACGAGGCTCCTCCACAAAAACCCTCCCACTGCAAGCAACTATAAGAATCACTACGGCAACCGCTTTACCAACCACAATACACTGGTGCTGGTGGCTGAGTGGACAGCACGCTAGATACGTAGTCCTGTGGTACGAGGTTCGATCCCCGGCGATGGCGGAAACCGATAGGCAGAGTTTCTTTTACCCTGATGCCCCTGTTACCTAGCAGTAAATAGGTACCTGGGAGTTAGACAGCTGTTACGGACTGCTTCCTGTGTGTGTGTATGTGGGGGGGGGGAATTAGTTAGTAGTTAGTAACAGTTGATTGACAGTTGAGAGGCGGACAGACAAAGCAGAGCTCAACCCCTGCAAGCACAACTAGGTGAATACAACCCTACTCCGACAATCACTACCTTGCCAACCACCCATTACCACAATTCACCAACTACCACTCTCACCTCAAACTACCACCCCATTCAAAAAATGGCCGAATATTGGGACGTTGATTTGTCAGTGAGCATAGTTTGTGGTGATGTTGAAGACGTGGTAGTGCTAGTGGTGCTAGTAGTAGTGGTAGTGCTAGTGGTGCTAGTAGTAGTGGTAGTGCTAGTGGTGCTAGTAGTAGTGGTAGTGCTAGTGGTGCTAGTAGTAGTGGTAGTGAAGAGGTAGTAGGTAGAGGTGGTAGTACCCACACACACTACAGTCACCGCAAATACTACCACTACCAGCTACTGGTAGTAATTGTGGTAGCGAGGCCTGGTCGGAGACCGGGCCTCGGGTCCGTTCATCCCTGGAAGCTACACAAGGTGCTACCACTACCACCACAATCATCACCATCACTATGAACGAGAACTACCACCAATACCAAAACAACGATCTCTTCCAGGCCAGCCCGTCCTCCTAAGGTGCCCCAACGTCTAGAAATTGTCGTACTAAAGTGCCCTTATCCTAACCAACCAGAGGACCCAAAACAGAAAACGGGACAGTATGTCAATTTCGCGAGCGGCTACCATTTTCTAGTACGACAATTTTTAGCCTTAGGGAGAGAGTATACGTCAAAATACGACGGTCTGTTAGGAGGACGGGTTGCTGAGGCACCACTACCAACTCTCTTTTACCACAACTACCACAAACAAAAAATTACGACCACAAACCACTATCACCACAAACTACAATCACTACAATCAACATTCGCAACAAACCTCACTATCACTACAAACAATAGTCATCATAAACCACTATTATCACAAACCACAATTACTACAAACCACTATCACTACAAACCACACATCACTATCACCACAAACCACAATCACTACAAACCACAATTACTACAAATCACTTTCACTACAAACCACTATCATCACAAACCACTATCACTACAAGCTACAATCACCACAAACCACTATCATCCCAAACCAGTTACCACAAACCACTATCATCCCAAACCAGTTACCACAAACCACTATCATCCCAAACCAGTTACCACAAACCACTATCACTACAAGCGACTATCACCACAAACCACTATCATCCCAAACCAGTTACCACAAACCACTATCATCCCAAACCAGTTACCACAAACCACTATCATCCCAAACCAGTTACCACAAACCACTATCACTACAAGCCACAATCACCACAAACCACTTCAAAGTGCTATATTTAAACCCTTATTCAATATTCCGTCGATGGCGTTACGATGCCTCTGGGGTAATTTGCATACTGAGAGAGAGAGTCGTAACTCAGAATAACTACTGGCTTTTAGGTCAATAGGAAGCTACTTAAGAAGAGAATCTGAACGTGTGTATGTCTGAGTGCATTCTAACCTCACCTTGGTGTGCTTGCAAGGTCGAGCGCCAGCTCTTAGGCCCCCGCCTTTAGAACTTGTTGTAGAGTGAAACAGTGATTCGGTGCTTCCATTCTTACCTTGAGAACCGAGTGCTAAGTTGACTATTTCTATGTCATTCAATTTATTCACGATATTGACACTGAAAATAAATGTCTGAAATCTTTCTATATCTTTTGCATCACCTCCTTTTGTTCCTCACTTTGAACATTACATTTTGTAAAATTGGTTAATAGCCCCTTAGTATCTTGTATATAACAATCATAGCTCCCCCACTGTATCCTTTCCTTCAGTCTGGCCAGGTCCAGTTCCTTCTATTTATTGTATCGTAGACCTCTCACCTGAAGCACCAATCATGCTGCATATCTCAAGACCTTATTTGCTTTACTGTCTTTTTTTTTTTTTAGGAAGTGGTTTTTTATGCTGGAGCTGCATAGTTGAGAGCGTCTCACGAAGGTTGCGTACATACCTGGAGACCAAACCTGTGCAGTATGATGAAGCTTTTCTATTTTAGTTTCTGAAGGCAGTCTTAAGGTTGCCGACGTTGTTACGGTAGTGTGTGCCTCTGGCGATTGATATGGCATAGGAATTCACCTTAAGGTTCCCCTTAGGACTGTTATCATCCACAAGTTAGGAGTTAGCATTAGCTAGTAGAGGCCCGAACTACAACACTTAAGAAATATTAGTTGAAGGTAATGATGGTACGCCGGAATAGTCATACAACCTCCTCATGCCCAGGTGAGCTATGAGAGTGATTAAGACGCATACCCAGGTGAGCTAAGAGGCAGGTTAAGACATCTTTACCACGCCTACGCTAATGTTACAGCGAAAGAGTCACAAAGTGCTACATGGAGAAGTGTGATTCAAAGTTCTTGTTTCCAGGATGAACTGGATGAAACAAGGAGATTCCAGTTGAATGTGGATACGAAACCTTCGGTGATTCAGGATGTGGAGGTTCCAGGCGGTGACTCTCATGTCAGCCGGCGAGGCGGAAGAGCAGAGGTCATTGATGGGAATTAAGCCTCAGGCCTATCAACTCCTCCTTCCCCACCCGAGGCGGCAGCAGCAGCGACAATAAGCCAAGCCAGTGTGTGTGTGTGTGTGTGTGTGTGTGTGTGTGTGTGTGTGTGTGTGTGTGTGTGTGTGTGTGTGTGTGTGTGTGTGTGTGTGTGTGTTTTACCTAGTTGTTTTTCACCTAGTTGTGTTTGCGGGGGTTGAGCTTTGCTCTTTCGGCCCGCCTCTCAACTGTCAATCAACTGTTTACTACTACTTTTTTTTTTTTTTTTGTGTGTGTGTGTGTGTGTGTGTGTGTGTGTGTGTGTGTGTGTGTGTGTGTGTGTGTGTGTGTGTGTGTGTGTATGTGTGTGTGTTGTGTCGAGACGAGTCTACAGTGTGTGAGTGTGGTGTGGAATACTATCCCGGTGTGTGGTGCTGTGGTGAGGAGTGTGGGTAAGGGATGAAGTAAGTGGGGAGACTTAGGGAGAGTGACCAGGTAAGTCCAGTGTGGGTAGTGGGAAGGGTAACCAAGTAACGGGAGTTGGATTTGACACTGAATTTATTATAAACTAGCTGTACCCGGCCACGCGTTGCTGTGGCTCAGCAACCTTCCCCCCGCTCTCCCAGTCCTCTTCACCATTCCCCTCCCCCGTCCCCTAGTCCTCCCCACAATTACCCCCTCCCTTGTCTCGTCGTCCTCCCCACTATTCCCCACACCCTCGTTCGATGCATTCCCAAATGATCTGATGTTCCCATCACTGAAATATAAGCAAAACAGTTAAAAAAAAGAAATAAAAACAGTTATAAAAATAAAAAAATAAACTATACTCACCAAATGAACGTTACGTAAACAACACAGCTCAATTCCAATGCAATGTCACACAAAATAATTAAATCAAAATGAAAATAAATCGAAATCTATGAAAATTAAATTTGTCAATGCAATTGGAAACAATGAAAAGGAATCGTAACATATTTAAGATAGCGTGAGTTGCTCTTACCTGTTGCTCTGCAACATATGGCATTGTTTCTTAAAAAAAAATGTTTTTACCTGTCACAGGTGTGGCATCTATACTTATACTTACGAAATGAACGGTATGGTAAATAACACAGCTCAATTCTAACGCAATGTCACACAAAATAATCCAATCAAAATGAAAATAAATCGTAATCTATGAAAATTCAGTTTATCAATGCAATCAGAAACATTGAAATAGAAACGTAACATATTTAGTATAGTGTGTGTGTTGCTATTCCGTGCAACAGATGGCGCTGTTTGAAAAAAATCATTTTTTTACTTGTCACAGGTGTGGCATCTATATAGTAGGTATATAAAACCTCGCTCAGATGCGAATGAAACGTTGTGTGAAAATTTCAAAGCAATCGGTGGAGAACTTTCGGAGATTAGCGGTGATGCACAAACGAACATTTCCATTTTTATTTATATAGATTTATAATCTGGCCAGAGTATATTTTATATAATTATATTATAAGACCTGACTAGTGTTTTAATCATCTTCATTATATC